CTGGTGGCCGGGCTGCCGGGGGGCCCGTCGGGAGCCTCGCGGGGGGCGCCCTCCCGCACCGAGCCCAGCGGCTGGTCACAGCCGCACAGGTTGCTGAAGGTGATGCGGGCGTTGAGCACGTGGAAGAGAGGGATCTCTGCGGGGCACAGCAGGTCAGTGGGCCCCACCCCTTCCCACAGGCCCCACCCCCTTTCCCTGGAGGCCCTGCCCCTCCCATTAGCCCCACCCACTGCCGGAGATTGGCTCCTCCCCCTTCCCGATGGCTCCTCCCCCTCCTGCAGCTGCCTCCAGCCCTCCCCCGTGAGCACTGCCCTCACCGATCTTGACGGGGAAGCCAGGCGGCAACTTAAGAGTGATGAAGTCGCGCAGCTTGGCGAAGTGGGCATTGGAGATGGCCATGAGGTCGATGATGGGCGTCACCTGCTCCGCCAGGGACAGCGGGTGCTGCTCGCACAGCCACAGTGTCGCCTTGAACCTGCCCGCGGCACCGGCATGGGCACAGGGAGCCCCGGCCCCGTCCCGCCGCTGCCGGAATGTCCCCACTGCCCGCGCAACAGCATGGGGAGCAGTGCTCACCTCTGCACCTTGCTGGACATCTCGATTGGGCGCCCGATGTTGCGGGCCTCCAGGTCGAAGTGGGGGTCGAAGTACTCCTCCGGAGTGATGGCTGTGGGGTTCGTGGGGCTGGCAGCCTGCAGCACGGGCGCCTGCAGGGCACATTGCCCATGGGTGTCCCCGGGGCACTGCACGGGGACCCACCTCCCTCCTGCCCCATGGCACCGTGCTGACGCGCACGGCCCCGGTGCCAGGTCGCTCACCCCATTGTGGGTGCCGTGCTGCTGCGCAATGCCCAGGAAGGAGTGGAAGGGGGTCTTGGAGCCAGCTGGGAACAAGAGACCAGGAGATGCTGGAGCAGGCACCTACCGCTGTGCCCTGCGCCTGACGCATCCCGCCAGGACGTTGGCGAGGGCAGCGGGACCCCTTCCCGCTTGGCCACCAGGGCTGTCACCTTTGTTGCGTGACTTGTCCTGATCGGAGAGATGTTCTGTCCTCGTCTTGGTGACCAGCTCCACATTGCTGGCGCTGTAAACCTGCCGGACAGGAATGTCCGCGTGGCCCGGGACCGCTGTGCCCTGCGCCTGACGCATCCCGCCAGGACGTTGGCGAGGGCAGCGGGACCCCTTCCCGCTTGGCCACCAGGGCTGTCACCTTTGTTGCGTGACTTATCCTGATCGGAGAGATGTTCTGTCCTCGTCTTGGTGACCAGCTCCACATTGCTGGCGCTGTAAACCTGCCGGACAGGAATGTCCGCGCGGCCCGGGCGCCTGGGCCCTTCCCCACCCTACCAGCCAGAGGTGAGGCCTCACCTTGGCCTCGTAGCCGCTGATCATCTCCATCTTCTCTGAGCGCCAGCCCCAGATGCCTGACTTGTTCCTGGGGAGAAGAGGACAGCCGTGAGGCCCCACGCACGTGTCCCTGCCCCATGCGTCACCCGGCCTCTGGCATCCTCTTGCACAAATCGCTTCCTTCCCACCCCGTTACCGCTTCCTCCTCGCGCAGGATGCCCTCTGCCTGGATGGCTCCTGCCTTGCACAAGCCCTTGCTTGCATGAGGGGCAGCCACACATGTCCCCTTGCACAGGCACCCTCAGCTGGGTGCCACCTCTGCCATGTCCTGCTCCCTCCCTCTGCACATGGGGCCCTTCCCGGGTGCGCTCACCGCTCGAAGGCAATGTTCTTGGTGTCGAGGTGCGTGGAGACGATGGGTGACGTGAGGCGCCCGGCCACGTGCTCCTCCGAGGGCTGCATGGCTGCCAGCAGGAGGTCGGGCTCATGCAGGGCCAGGGCCAGCGTCTCCGTGTAAACCACCTGTTTGTCGTGGTCCACCTCCATCACCACTGCCCCCTCATCTGCACACAAGGATGGAGGTCAGGGCCACCACGTAGCCTGGCACCCTGGGGCACCCCTTTGTCTGTGTGCCCCTCTGCACTGGGTACAGCCAGTTACCCTGATCCTGCCGTCTCCTTCTCCCTTGTGGCTCATAGGCATGGGTCAGCATCTTGGGGCACCTCAAGGCACCCAGATACCCCCAACCTTGGGGCATCCTGTGTTGCTGCATCTCTGACTTCCCTTAGGGTAAATGAAGTGCCTTGTGGGGGGGGTCCATAAGGGAAATTCTAGGTCCTTATGGGGCATCTTGAGTACTTATGAGGTGTATCAGGTCCTTAATGCAGTCTCCATCCTTGGAGATACTCAAACCCTGTTTGTACAGGGTGCTGGGCAATGAGCTCCAGGTGATCCTGCTGGAGCTTGAAGGTTGGACTAGACAATCTCTAGAAGCCCCTTCCAACCCATCTGTGGTTATGGGGGCAGGTCTGAGGTCCTCCTGAAGGACGTGAACTCCTTGATACTTTCGTGGAGCCCCAGGTGGTTCCCTGGCTTCCTGAAGAGGGCAATTGGGGTGCCAAGGAGACATCCGGACTCCTCAAGGGAGCTCTAGGGTGCCTAAGGGCATCCGGGCGCCTGGGGGAACTCCCTGAGCGCTGGGGCTGACCTTCTCCTTTGAAGATGTAGCTGCGCCGGCCCCGCTGCCACGTCATGTGCTCGAAGCCCAGCAGTGTGGTGTCGACACGCAGGCTCTCGCCTCGCTTCCACACGCGGTACACGTCGCTGGGACACACCTTGGAGACCAGGGGCACTGCGGGCGCCAGCACCCGCTCAGCAGGCGCCCGGGGTGCACCGCGGAGTCTGGCGGGTGCGCGGCCGCCCCACCGGCCCCCACTCACCCCAGCTCGTGAACTCCCACTTCATCTCCACGTAGAAGTCGGAGGCCTGGAGGAGAAATGGGGTCACGGAGGGACCTGCAGGGACCTCCATGGCAGGGTGGTCCCTGTGGGAGTCTCGGGGGAGATGGAAGGCATGAAGGGCTGTCACCACCGCGGGGAGATAGGGTGCAGAAGGGAGATTGGAGGTTGGCAGGGGAGGCTGATCGGGGGTCCTACAGGGACCCTTGGGGAGGGCTCATGGTCCTCAGGGCCGCCCC